TTTGTCCCTATAATCTTGTCCTAATGCGTATCGTTTGCTTGCAAAAATTCCATTCCTTGTATAGCCAACTTATCGATGAGTTACCGTTCCGAGATTCAATTTAAGGACTTTAGAATTTGTCGTGAAAAATGACACTACACAATACCACACGTACAAACTTAATGGAATTGCATAAGAGAAAACCCGTTAGCCCTTAGGAAATGCAGTCGAAGCTGCCTTCGACTTGATTTTATGCAATTCGAGGCTAAGATTAAGTCAATTCAAGTTTTTAGATTAAAAAAAAGAATAAGCGAGTTTATTACTATTTAATTAATCTGTTTTTAGATTAAGTCAATAGCAAAACTTGTTTAAACTTTAAACAGTCAATATTGTTGTATTGTTGCAATTCTTATTAATAAATATAATTATTTTGAGACAGATAAGTTATCTTTAGAAGATCATTTTCTCAGCTCGACAGAAGTTAAGTTTAACATTATTCTTAACATTCAAAGTTAACAATTGTGCGAGACAAAATAAATATTATTCACCTTTAAAGTTACTTTCTTATAGAGAAGTAAGTTTTATTAGTGAAAAAGTAATTTTAAAAATAATCTTTGACGAAATAATAATCTAAAATAATTTAACTTACTTTTAAATACAACTAAGTATGTTCGTCGTGTGAAAAAGTGATTTTAAAATAATCTTTGATGAAATAATAACTTAAAAGTAATTTAACTTACTTTTAAATACAACTAAGTAGGTTCTTTGTGTTGCACGTTGTTTCCCATTAATTACTGAACTTTTAGAGCAAGGATTAGACCATTCATTTCATATCATGGATTTCTTTGTGTTGCATGTTATTTCCCATTAATTACTGAACTTTTAGAGCAAGGATTAGACCATTCATTTCATATCATGGATTTCTTTGTGTTGCATGTTATTTCCCATTAATTATTGAACTTTTAGAGCAAGGATTAGACCATTCATTTCATATCATGGATTATCTATCTAGACTAACTTAGGCCATGGGTGTTCTTCGTGTTGCTCGTGTTATTGTATCGAACAATTAGCTCAAAATCGATAGGGTTGAGATCGCTTCTGAAAATATCTAATTAACCAACCTTTCGCTTTCGTTAAGATAATTCGAAATAAATGCAGCAACAAGATCCTAATAATAGATTCAATTATAACAAAATTAAAATCGGGACATTTATAATTTGTTCTCTGTTTTGACTTTATAGAATACTTACTAAATTTTGTACCCTTGTAATTTTCATTAGAGTAATGTTATTTAGTTCTATTGAGTTTATAATCTCATTCTAGTTTGTATTAATGTTTTATTAAATAATAGATAAAATTAAATAAGTCATTTAATTTCACATTTTATTTACTCTATCATCTAACGCTACTTAAATTGCGATTGTAACCTAGTGGAGTTGCATAATATTATTCTTTTCATTGTACCCACCATCCTAAGGAATTTAAGGTTATAAATACCCGTTTAGTCTTCTATGGAAAACACTCCTCTCTCTCTCTCTCTCTCTACAAAGTTCTTCTTGTACCAACTACCCTTTTTCATTCTTAATTTAATCAAATACAATCTATTTTGTTGAGGAAGTTAAGAAAAATGGTACACGTAAAGAGAGATTTTGAGGTGAAGGTAAGCAAGAATGAGGTGGTGGTGCCAGTATTGCCCATTCAAGAGAATAAGCTACCACTTTCGAACCTCGACTTGCTCTTGCCGCCGATGAACGTCGGCATTTTCTTTTGTTACAAGAAACCAAAAAATTTTACGTTCGATTTGATTGTGGTGGTTCTTAAGAAGGCGTTGGCACAAACTTTAGTGTCATACTCTGCATTTGCTGGCGAGCTCGTAAAGAACGATGTGGGTGAACCCGAACTTCTTTGCAACAACCGGGGGGTCGATTTCGTCGAAGCTTTGGCCGATGTAGAGCTCAAGGAGCTTGACTTGTACAATCCTGATGCCACTGTCGAAGGAAAGCTTGTACCAAAGAGACAGCAAGGACTGCTGGCCATCCAGGTGAGTACTTAAACTAAATTTACGCCTCGTTTTTTGCATGTGCACTTTGAAATTTTAAATTTACATCATGCTAATAATCCTACTTTTGGGTCAATAAATGATCCCCTTTTTTCTTAAATTTATTTTCAATTATATATTTGTATAGAATTTATAACTTTTATTAACATTTCAACGACACATTTCATTAACTTCTATCTCAATTTACTAAATATCCGAATTCAACCAAACCAAATAGGGGCTTATATTATTTTGCATAATAATCCTAAATAAATATTTTGAGATGTTTCGAAAATGAGTTTTTCTATATATGGAACATCGTTATAGGGTGTCAAGCCCCGAATATTCATGTTTATAATAAAGAATTTGTTCTTGCTAGTATTTAATTTCTGTTTAATTACTTGAATGTATCGACTAAACTCCTAAACAAATTTTGTGTTATAATATTGTTTTACTAATGGAATCAATGCTGGCTGAAGAAACAAGTTTAGTACGGCAACTATAGTTTTGTTTAGAATAAGAATAATTCTCCCTGTCCCGGGTCAGGGACAGGGAGAAAGACAGGGGTGCCACGTGGTGCCCCCCTATTGGAGGGGCGCCGGCCAGTGGCAGGCGCCCCTCCAATAGGGGGGCGCCATGTGGCGCCCCTGTCCCTGACCCTGACCCTGTCCCTGACCCGGGACAGGGAGCAGGGTTCTTAGAATAATTCTTCTCACTAGGCCTTTTTTTTTGGGGTTGTCCCACTGGAAAAACAAGGCCGCATGTTACACGTCCCTCTGGAAAAACAAGGCCACGCGTTACACGTTCCTCCGGAAAAAACAGGGTCCACGCTCCTTTTTTAGTAGTTTTTATCGTTTAAAATATGCTATGACGCGAATACATACAACATAGATTAGGTCGAATTTCTTTGTAAGTGCAGTGTACATGCAGTTCTTGTTCTTTGGGCTATTGGGATACATTCCGCGATTTACCTCCCTCACAAAATTCTAGGAGTGGAGCGGGACGGAACGGTGGAAGCCCTCAAGTTGGGGTTCAACCTTTTCGAGATTAGGTCGAATTAGAAGTCAAAGTTGGTACGACTTCATTTGTGGAGATCCTATGTCCACATTTTTGAGAAATATGTGACAGGAAACTGACGACAATAATTCTGGTATCGTACTTTAAAATGAATGATAATTATCCATCTTACTTTAGTTCATGTTTGGCCATTTTTTTAAACTTTATTTCTAATCATGCATTTTTAAAAAAAAAAAAAATTCGCGAAATATATTCTGAAAAATCTCTACCGAAAAGGGGTTATTCTTTGCTATTGTTTGTCTATTTAAAAACATGAGGATAAATAAGTCTTTATGTTCTGATAACGACTTTTTAGACAAAAATGTTTATTAGGACAAGATGTATTAATTAATGGAACATCGATGATAAGAATGCAACAAAAAATATATATATGAGTAGTTCCACGCTCGCCCTTCACATCCGTCAACAAACTATCACAGTTTTCACATTGCATTTAAGCAGATTTTGGCTTGTGGAAAACGATTTTAAGTAGATTCTTGATCACGTAACTTTCTTCATAGAACAAGTGAAATAGTACCACAATTTGTAAAAAGCGCATAATGGATATTTAAGTCTCAGCAGAAATCTATATCAATTTCATTGGATGATATTGCTGACAATCAATTATAAGAATCCAATGCTGTCCTAAAATATCTGAATATTTATAAACGTAAAAAATCTACTTATAAGTAAGTTATTTCTTTTTTATGGCAGGCCACACAACTGAAATGCGGCGGATTGTTGGTAGCATGCACATTTTCACATCAGGTGGCGGACGCCTATTCCGCCAACATGTTTCTCGTTTCATGGGCGGAGATGGCTATGTCCAAGCCATTATCTCAAACCCCATCTTTCCGCCGGTCAATTCTTTTCCCTCGCCGGCCCGCCAGTTACGACCTTTCGGTAGATAACATGTACGTTCCGATTTCATCTCTGCCGCCGCCGGAGGCCACCGATGAAGATGATGATGATGATCAAATAGCAATAAGTCGAATATATTATATTGTATCTGATCGAATCAATGATCTCCAAGCATTGGCTAATGCTGATAATGACAGCAGCAGTGGGAAAAAAAGGACGAAACTGGAGGCATTCAGTGCCTTTCTATGGAAGATGATTGTTACCAGCGAATTTACGCGAACTGATAATTTTTGTAGACTGGGAATTGTGGTTGACGGGAGGACTAGATTGATCAATGGAGATGAAAACCAAGAAAAATTGATAAAACCATATTTTGGCAATGTTCTGTCAATTCCATTTGGGGAGAAGAAAATTGAGGAGTTGAAGGAGAAACCATTGAGTTGGGTTGCAAATGAAATTCATGAGTTTTTAGGTACTGCAGTGACAAAAGAACATTTCTTGGGGCTAATAGATTGGGTGGAGGATCATCGTCCCGATCCATGCCTGGCCAAAATATACGGCGCAAGGGTAAGTGAGGAAGAGCCGGCGGTGGTGGTGTCATCGGGGCAGCATTTTCCGGTGAAAAAAATGGATTTTGGGTGGGGAGAGCCTTGTTTTGGGTCGTACCATTTTCCGTGGGGAGGGAAATCTGGTTATGTTATGCCAATGCCAAGTCCAAAGGGGAATGGAGATTGGATTGTTTACATGCACTTGTTGAAAGGGCAATTGGAGTTGATAGAGAAAAATGCAGCTGATGTATTTTGCCCTTTGAATTCTGAATATCTATGCTTCAACTGATTTTCATTGTGTATTGAATAAAAAATAGTAATAATTATTGTTATATGTAGTTGAAATTAAAGTTCGGCTTTAAAAATGGCCTTTTGCAACATTCGAACAACCAAAAAGATTGACTTGGGGCAGGAGTAATCCACAAAGAACAGTAACTAGAATGGGTGGAAATTTATACGAGATTATAAACCTCAAAACTTCTGTTAACAGGAAGAAACGAATTCATGTAGTTAGGAAATGCTCAAAAACATTGGAGATTTATAATATAATCTGAAATATATAGGCTTTTCAATTGGAATTCCATTGAAGATCAGCTTAACAACTTGTTCCAAAGTAACCTGAGCTAGAGTTATGAGTTAGCCCCTGAGCCTAATGAAGTCAAAAGAGTTAATACCTTCTTGAGTACATCCTAAGGCCCTTCAATGTCGCTAACTATCGTTAGAGATCTCTTTAGGGCTAGGATCTCTAACGTGTCCTCATCCCCCTGCTCATTCACCTCTTGAATATCAGAATGGAGCTTCTTTTGTCTTCTGAGCTATTGGAAGTAGTAGAGTGATCAGTTAAGGAGCTAAAACGGAGGAGCAAAGGAACCCTTTGGGAGGGGTCCGAGCGATAGTCAAGGAGCTCAACGAGGATAATGCTTTCTCGTACTAACAACCAACTACAAACATCCTATTATGTAAGAGATTAAGGAACAGATGTGACATATTTTGTAGGTTTTTTTCAATTCTTGAAATTTATAAAAATAGTCTTGCTATTAGTATTCTCTAGTATATCCATGATCCATGATCTTTACAAAAAAATCAATATGATCTTAAAGAATTTGCTGTTATTGTATCCACCTTCTTTTCTGATGAGTTTAAGAAATTTGTTGCCCTATCTTTGGAGAAATGGCGAGTAAAAGCAACACAAAATCTTGGCAAATCTGTGATTTCCTTCGTGATTGTTATGAACAAAACTACCTCGATATTTACAACTCGAAAGATGGAAGGGTAAACAAATTATCTGTCATCATCGCCCCTCTAGCACAGTAATAGTGACCTTGTTAGCAGATTCCGCTGTTTTGAAGTGGGACCCATTCCACATGTCCATAAATCCCGGATGCTCCGGCACCGGCAAGTCAAAGATTTCACTGCTAAGCATTGATAGAACAGTTGACATGGAGGGTCTATTTACAGGGATTTCTTGAACACACAACAATCCAATGTGTATGCATCTCATAATCTCTGCCAATGAGCTTGAACTAAATATTCTCTGGTCGATTAAATCCAGAACATTTTTTTCGTTCCATAATTTCCACGACTGAAAAGGATTAAGAAGAATTTATCGGAATCAGAAAGGAAGATATTGTAACAACAATCTTATAGTGATTAAGTGAAGAATTCGAAATGAGTTCAAGTGCACTTACATATCCTAAAAAGCCTAAAGACAACTCGTCACTGTAGAAGCTCGTGTTCTTTCTCCCGCTTACAATCTCCAATACTAAAATGCCGAAACTGAAAACATCGGATTTTTCTGAAAATCTGCCACCCATTACATATTCAGGAGCCATGTATCCACTGCAACAAGACTGTGTCAATAAACCACACCAGTATTGACAATCCACAGTCTAAAATGGACGAAATAATTAGACACTTACTATGTTCCAACAACTCTTCTAGTGTTGGCTTGATTTTGGTTGCCTCCGAATATTCTGGCCATTCCAAAATCTGAAATCTTTGGATTCCAATCCTCATCAAGCAATATGTTACTTGGCTTCATATCTCTGTGGATTATTCTCAATCGAGAATCCCTGTGCAGATAGAGGAGTCCTCGGCCAATGCCTTCAATAATATTGAAACGTTTCCTCCAATCAAGAATATTATTCGAACCATCTGCATAAGCAATGTGATCGTGAGTGTATTGAGATGAAATGGGAATAAATTGAAAAGGTAACGTATATCCGAGTTGAACCAACCAAATAGAAAAACATCTAGGCTTCTGTTTTGCATGTATTCATATACTAGCATCTTTTCGTCTTTTTCTACACAGCATCCTAGTAGTCTAACAAGGTTGCGGTGTTGGAGTTTAGAAATGACAACCACTTCATTCATGAATTCTTCAAGCCCCTGTCCAGATTCTGTTGAAAGCCTTTTCACTGCAATTTCTTTCCCATTTTCCAATTTTCCCTACACACAAATAGCAATTTCAGCACTTGTAGATTCCATGAAAACTAAAACTGGACATTATGCATAAGCAAGATACATTACCTTAAAAACTGGACCAAAACCACCCATTCCAAGCTTATTGGCCACGTCAAAATTGTTCGTTGCATTTTCAACCATCTCGAAACTGTATAGTGGTAACTCTTCAACATTAACTTTATCCATGGCATTATGCAGCCTGATTTCACTTGAATTCAGTTGGCCTACTTCACCTCCTTCATATTCTAATGTTACACTGCGGCCTAATTTGCAAAGAAATATAACATCGATTAGAGATATCTGTATTTTTGTGCCTAAATACCAATCCAAATGCCTTGTGCGTACCTCTTCGCCGAGACATCCACCACCAAGATAAAAGTAGGCAAAAGGAAATGGCAACCAAAGTGGCGACTACACATGATATGATTATTACTTTTTTGTCTTTCTTTTCATCTGAAACAAAACAAGCATCCAAACTAATGACTTGCATAAAGGACATTTAGACATTGTTCAAAATTTCATGAACATTAATTTAGTACTATAGAGATTCATAGTACTATAGACAGGAAACGAATTATTCTTCTCATTTGAAAACAAATAAAAAGATAGCAGAAGTACCATGTTCTGAATAAGCCACCCGAACAAAGAAATCTGAACCTGCATCCCTGGAGAATTTCTGAATGTCAATTAAGCTTCCACTCCAGAACATGCATCCAATACCCTGTTCATATGCATAGGCTCTGCAAGAACAATTTCCCAAGCACAGGCCTTCACATTCAGTTTCAATACCGGTCGACCACTGAATAAAATCTGGCACTTTCACTAGAGCGATCTTCACAAATTTATCAACTTTGTGTTTATCAGTTGCATTATTATCTCGATCACACTGCAGGGGTGTCCTTTTCACACATCCACCGCTCCAATTCCCACTATCCCATTCCTCTTTGTTCTTCGGTTCATACCCTGTTAAGCAACTGCATTTCGGCCTATTGTTCGAGTAGCAGAGTCCAAATGGACCGCATTTGTTATAGAAATCACAATCATCTATTGGTGCTTGCCATGTGGGATTCCATTCTCTCTTCTGATTATCCCAGGCCGCTTCAACAAGAACTCCCTCGGTGTTCAAATAATTCGTCATTAAGGCCTGTTGTCTAAAAGCTCGTGTGAAAACTACTGTGCCATCTTCCTCAGTTGCCACGCTAAATCCATCGACATAGACAGAGTACATGCGGGTTACTCCAGTAAGAACTCGGCCATTCCATGGACCACTGCGCCATATTGGACGACCATTATTCCATATGTAAATTTGTGGGATCCCAACTGCGTAGAGACCCGAAGAAAAATTTCCATAATCAGGATCCTGAGGACTTCTCCAGGAATTTAATGATACCCTTTGGCCTGTTCTTGTGTTGTGAAATATTCTCATTGCTGGCAGAAACGTGTTAGTGGGATACCGGTGGCTCTCCCATAGTGTTCCGCTGCCGGTGACATCCCGGAGGACAAGATTTCCAGTACCCAATAATTGGGCAGTAGTATTCCTACCGGAAGTAGAATTTGACGTAACATTTGATGACCAAATAATCTCTTGATTTCCATTCATGATTACAAGATTTCCATCTGCAGATATGGAGAAGGTCCCTGATGAATCGTTGAGAGGCCTATCTCGATTGGCAACCCAAGCCACTGTATCTTTAGTAACTGTATACCATATGCCCAAGTAACGCCGAGTACTGCCGTTGGGGCTGAAAAATCCCAACGTGAAAATCTCGCCGGAGGAAACTATTGTAGCAGAATCGTTAAGCACTACTCCGGCGTTAATGGTATCTGTTTCTAAACAAAACCCATAACTAAAAAGACAAAAAATAATTGCCAAGAAATTTCTACCGCTGATCATGGTTCTGAGAGAGTTTCTTGTGGAAATGGCTGCCATTGCATAAAGAACCCTACTAGATTAATAAGCAAGAAATTTCTGCGAAGCCAGTTAATTCAAACGATGGCTATGTGCACAGGATTTGGATATTTTCTAGTCCTTCGCCCGTCAGAATGGAATCGGAATTAATTTCTCGTCAAATAATTATTCTTCTGTTGACTAGCAGATTTAGCTGACTTGTTCATTGACTTACTTGCCTGGAGGCTGGATTCATCTTGCTGTCTAAAATGATTTTCTTCTTTGATATAATTAAAAATATTAATGTAAAACTTAATTGTTGTTTATAAGGAAAAATGTAATGTTAAGTTTAGTTCAACATATTTTAATTATTTTTTAAGATTCTTATTTGAATAGTCAACAAAAATCAGACGAATAACGTTATTTAACATCATTAGTGCTATAACACCAATTTAGGTAAAGCTAACTCTTATTTTATGTCGCATTAATGTCACATAAATTAGTATTATAACATTAACAGTATTAAATAGTATAACTCAAATCAAACATATGACATTTTATATTAATTAAAGAAACAAAGAAAGTTATCTCTAAAAATTTTATTGAAGGAAATCTATTTTTCTTTTCATCTCTCTAATTTGGCCTTTCCAAAGTGCAAATAATTGAATCTAGATAGTTATCAATGAATAAATTACACATGGAAAATTAAGGCAGCTTTCCTGTTGAGTCCCTGTATGATTTTGCTAAAAATAGAGTTTTAGTAAATTTTGATAAAATTTGATGAAATTTATGAATAAAAAATTATAAATCTCTATAGTTAAAATTAATTATAATTTTTTTTTTGCTTAATTTTTATCAACATTAGCTAAACCAAACGAAGTCAAAACCTCCTATGATTTGAACTTGTCCCTGCCTAATTCCGAAAGCTCATCTCGTGCGCCTACTGCTACTACTAATTTTAAAATAATTGTCATTTATTCTTCTGTTACTCACCAAATCAAGACAAGTATATCTACCTATGAAAGTGCTTGATAACCAATGAGTTGGGTTGGTCATGAGTTCAACTAGAAATCAAAATCAACTCGATCAGTTTGGATAACTTCCAACCCAAATTTACCCAATTTAATTGTTAAAATCGAATTCAGTTGAACATTTTTCCGAGATAAAAAAATTTACCTCTCTATTTTAGGTTAAAAAATCTAATTTAGGGCTTGCGTAATACATATTAATAAGAAATATAATGCAAATAAAAAATGGTGGATTTTTCCAAAATCATCCTATGTATCCAGTAGTTATCAACAAACAATTACATCAAATTGAGAAGCAAGGTCACAATCTAAATTTGGAGTTTACATGAACAATTCATCTCCTTGCTTTTCTTTTCTCTTGAAATTTGGATAATAACAATAATAATAACAACAACAACAACAACAATAATGTAGACGAGAAAGATTTATATTTATGTTTTTATTCTTCTATTTTTAAGTTTAAAAATATGAATCTTAAAATAAAGTTATATATTAATAGGTTGGACCGATTAATTGACGGGCTCGTTCCTTGAATTTTTAATGGTTAAATTTGATCGAATCAAATCGATTTTTTGGTACAAACCGACTAAACTCGATTTGGTTTGGTTAGTTTGATCGATTTTTCGATTTTTTGCCACTAAGCAACAAAAATATACACAAAATATTTGGTGACGATGTTATTTGCAAAGAAATTTCATTATTTTTAAACATGTTGAAAAGCTTCCACAAAAAGAGGGAGATGATTTCGTTACAAATTCTTATATTTTATTTAGGACTTGTTTGATAGTGATTATGAGAATTAATTTTTTTGACTATTAGAGAGAAAGTGGATCTCACTTATGAGTAAAGAAATCAAAATAAAACCTCTATAATGAAATAACGATAAAAAAATTAATTTTTTGGGATGAAAAATTGCTACAAAAAACACACTTAATCATTGACATATTTGCTCACTTAAATAAGTGTAAGTTCAATTGAAAGTTTTTGATTCATCTATAAAAAGAAGTATAAATATCTTCATATACCAAACGCTTACTAATGAGTATTGCATCTTCAGACAAAGATTGACCTTCGCGGAAAGGAAATATATTTATTATCTAGATTTTATCTTATCCACCCACCTTAACAGTGCGCCAAAAAGTTGCTAAACAAAACATATAACAACATTTAATACTTTCTATATAGTTTTTAGTAATTTTTGAACCCAATCAATGACAAGATTATCATCGTCATTATAGACCTTCTCGGCCTTTCTTTACAAACACTCGATGAGAGTTATCACTATATGAATTGTTAAAATGAAGGCAAAAACTAATACTGATGGATACAAGGACTTCGTATCATCTAGATGATCACATAGTCGGCAAATCCATAAAACGTTCTGCTACGCTTCATAATTCGAAGCTCATAGTGGGAGCCACGTGGAACCACGGGAGACATCTGTCAACATAAAGAAGCTAGCTATCGAGGTACTATCTCATTGTTCCAAAACTCTTTTGTCAATGCTCTATCTCATTATTTTGAAGCTCATCATCTCATTTGCTCCTAATCTCCAAACGAAACATGATCATTACGAAAGCACCGTATGTGAAAAACTACACACTAAACCACAAAAATCCATTGGAGAAAAGGCCATTGGAAAGACACTCCTGGGAGGAATTTGAGTGTTTCTTGAAGAAAGAATAATCGAGAACTCCAAGATGAACCATTTTTTTGAAGTCAGGTGCATTTCTTGAAGAGAGGAATATTGCTCGGTGCCAAGGAGCCCAAGTAACTAAAAAGAAGCATTACTATGAATAGAGTTTGTACTTTGTAGGACTAGGGAACACCCTGCAGAAGGGAAACCTTCTCATGCTGCTTTATCAACTGAAATATAGTATACTAGACTCCTGAAATGAAGCATTGGAAGTTGGCTAGATTTCAAGAAGGCTTTCTTTAAGCATTTCGCTACTAGCAAAGAAGGCAAAAGGTCAATACAACCCCTGCAAGACATAATGTAACAAAGGGAAGAGTCGCTAAAAAACTTATTATCTCGTTTCATTGATGAAATGAACTATTGCATGTAAGTTACTGACACAGAGGCACTATCAGCCCTATGAGGAGGGTTGTATATGAATTCTCTCCTCTGGAGATATGTATAAAACAAGGACCCTACCAGTTTTGACGCTTTTCTGGAAATGATAAGGCTTGAGATTATCAATAAAGATTGAAAGATCATCAAAATAGGGCCACAAGGGGACTCCTGCCTCCTCAAATGCAAACGGGAAAAGGGTCCACCTCTCACTTGATGGATCACCAGGTCGGACAGTTGACCTTCCTCAATCCTAAACAAGTGCTTGATTCAATAACACTAAATGCAATACTTGCTTTAACATACGAAGAAGTAAACATAACTCTAAAACCTATCAAAGAGGATCAAGTCAATGATTCCCTCAAATAGGGAGAGGTAGAGGACAAAGCCTTGAACCTAGAAATAGGATTGAAGCACCCTTCTATTGTACCTACCACCACTCTTATAGTTACAGTACTGCTGATTGCAAGGATATCACACTGTATCTCCAAGTCGACAATCATAGGAGGAACAGGCACCCCGGAAGAGACACATAATTTCCTAGGCATGATCAACATCCTAGGAATGATGAGACAAAGTGTCCTATTAGGCATGATGCCCCAAAAAAGGTGAGAAAATGATAGGAATGACCTAAGAAATGCCAAAGGTAGAGGAGGAGCCCCAAACCAATGATGACCATGAAGTCATTCGAAAAAATGACCTAATTTTTAGAGGCCTATATGTTGGGAAAGAGACTAAAAATGTCCAAAGAAAACTATGCAAGAGAGGCCAAGGAACTCCCAACGACGAGTTTCATAGTCAACAGCAGTCGACCCTCTACTAGGAGAAGGGTTCAACCCATCACCTTCACACAAGACGACGTTATCAGTGTGCATTATCCACATTGCGAATAACGGCTCGAAAATGGCCTTAAAAGAATGTTGGTGTATAATGGAAGCTTGCTCAACATCATATTTGGAACAACCTTCGATAAAATAGAAGTTGATCATGACCTAACAACAATGAACTCTTCTTTGCATAGTTTCACTGGCGACAACATCATCCCAAGAGGGAAAATCACTATAGGAACAGAGATGGAGACAACACCATTAACTGGTCATCATTTTATGATATTCTTGGTGGTTGACAACCGTTCTGCTAATCATGGAGTGCTTGGAAGGCCATCATTAAAGAAGCTATAGGCTATCACATCCATTTACCACTTAAACATGAAGTTTCTAGCAAAGAAAGGCATCACCAAGTTCAAAGGCGATCAAAGTAGTGCGAAAGAATGCTATTCAAACTCCCTTAAGAAGGTTGAACCAAGAGACATCAATGTAATTCTAAATGACATTGGCGTGACGACCATGAATAAGGGCAAAGCCTGAACAATGGAAGGACATCGAAATGAGAGATGTCTGTGATTAAGAGGCTGTTTTGGAGATACAATCAACCCTTGAAGAAAGGAGAGTTGCTAAAGAAGTTGTTAACCTTGATGACCTAGGTCCCAACAAAATTAATTGCGAACTTCATAAAACCACAGTTGAAGAACCGAAGATATTTGCAGTGGATTCTCGGGATCCCTCCAAATCTTTGCTTGTCGGAACAGACCTACCAATGGAGGCTAAGGAAAAGCTAAAGTATTTCTTGCATGACAACCTGAATATCTTCGCATGGAAATACGAAGATATGGTTGGCATTGATTCAAAAGTCAATTGTCACCATTTAAAAATTGATCCCGAAGCTACCCCTTATAGGTATAAATGAGGACCCTTAACCTTGAAATGTATGAGGTACTAAAGGATGAAGTAAAGAAATTGATTGACGATCCTTTTATCAATCTATTCGAAGTGGGTATCAAACCTTATACTTGTTAAGAAACACAATGAAAAGTGGGTAAGGGTAGATTTTTTCAATCTTAATCAAGTCTGCCCCAAGGACAATTTCCACTTCCACAAATAGATCAGCTCGTTGATTCCACTGCTGGGCACAAATTATTGAGCTTCATGGACGTTTGCTCAGGATATAATCCGATCTTGATATATTTAG